TGTAAACAGTTTTAAGGGATTTTAGGCTATTTCTTGTCTGGGTATTGTCTGTGGTAACATTTATAACCCAGTTAAAGTAGATGTTACATGCACTGTATACACTCTTCAGTTAAATTAACACAAATTAGCTGGATGTGCATGTGTGGTGTAAGCAGCAAAAACTTGGACGAATTGATTGAGTTTCTATTTGTCTTGGCATTGTTTAACAGTTTTGATGAAGTTCCCTAACAAATCTGTAACTTTTGGGGATGTGCCAAAGGACTAAGGAAACAGCTTTACTTACACAGCTATTTAAAAATGACCCTTTTAACTTCAGGTCTAACTTTCATCCCAGGCAAAATGAAAGGATAATTGAAGATGAGCTTTTGTGTCTGAAAGCTCATCTTTTTTCCCCAACTGTGAGTTGATCTAATAAGATACACTATCACTGCCTACAGACCAAGCCTATCATAATTTATGCCATTCAGCAAAGCTTTGGGGAGCTTGGGTTATAGTCAACAAATGTGATACTGTGTTTTGATGAAATAAAATGCATCTGATAAAAGAACTAAGGCAGATGTACTGTTCTGTTTAGGTTTTTTTTTTTTATAAAGTATACCTCTGTACAGTGTTTGACACCCCACATCCTCACTTTTGTGTAGTGCCAACCCGTTGTGCTGCATTTAAGACAAGAGGAAATGGCCTCAAGTTGCACCAGGGGAGGTTTAGATTGGATGGTAGGAAAAATTAGGAAAAATTTCTTCACCAAGAGGGTTGTCAATCATTGGAACAGGCTGCCCCAGGGAAGTGGTTGAGTCACCATCCCTGGAGGTATTTAAAAGACATGTAGATGCGGTGCTTAGGGACATGGTTTAGTGGTTGGACTTGGCAGTGTTAGGTTAATAGTTGGACTTGGTGATCTTAAAGGTCTTTTCCAACCAAAACAATTCTATGATTCTATGATTTCTACATTAATTAGGGAAAAGTGTAATAGAAGAATTGAAAAGCAACGGAAATTTGAGACTGGTGCGGTGTAGGGTGAAAGTCTGAAGGAAAAGCTCATCTTCATTAATAGTGGGCTTATGTAATGAGACATAGGCTAATTTCTTCCTCTCTGTGAAAGTATTTAATGAAAACCTAAACCCCAAGGAACTTGGGAGTTGTAAAGACATACCCCTAATTCTTAATTGCATTAGCATATCTAATGGCAATAGAAGAATGAGAAAACCTCTAATTCTCAAACAACAACAACAACAAAAACCCCAAAAAACCAAAAAAGATAATTTTAAGCTAGCCTCTCTTTACAGTAATATAGTGTAATAGCCGATATTGCTATATCAATTCTTTATCAGAAAAGACTAAAATATATTCAAAGTTTCCAGAAAACATGTTGAGAGACATTAAGATCATCAAATTTACTTTTTTTTCCAAATCCTTCCCAAATATTTAAATTCAGTTTAGTTCCAGTTGGATTAATGTGTTCCACTACTCACTCATCTGCAAAAACTATTAGAATTTTGATGTGGTAAGGTCAAAGAGTGGAAGTTAAGTATAGTCTTTATTCTTAACATATTAAAATAGTTTTGAAATTTGAAATAATCTGTAATTTAAAATAGTCTCTTTGGTCTTGGAAGCAGGAAAGAATTATTAGGAAATCTTGTGCAAGCAGTGAGATATATTTTAGTGGTCTCCAATATGGTAATGAAAAACCTGAGGTCATCTCTTTTGGAGTGAGTTTTATACAGCATCTTCTTCGTGGCTGGATTCCACTGATCATGACACCCTGCAACAGCAACCAAAGGAAGTGGGTTTTAGCTGTATAATTTTTTCTATGGAACTGACAGGTTGCTGTAGTACTAGAGAAGGATGTGTGAGTTTTCTGTAGCATGTAGATATGTTATTATTACAAAAAACCACTGTGACTGTATCTTTTCCTTTTCCTTATAATTACATCTGTAGATAAGAAGCTAAGAAGCTGGAGCCATACATGGAAGAAATTATTCTTCCACCCATTTTATCTGAATGTATTACAGACCTTTATAGTCACGATTCTGGATTCGGCAAGTTAGATAGGGCTAGGTAACAGCATGCTTTGTCATGTGTTAAATAATTGCTACCTGGATAGCTATTAAAAGTCAATAACATGAAGAGTATAAAAGCATGATTATTTCAGGTTTGTCCTTGAAATGTGGATCAAAGTTTATGTTCATTGTGCAAATGAGTCATTGCAAGAATGAAGAGAGCAGTAAAAGGTATCTCTACTTTTAAGTGTTTGTGTAGGTTAAGCAAAATTGTTATATAAAGATTTTCTAAATGGAAAATTCATTTTGCAATCTGGAGAGAAGGATAAAAAAATGAATAGTAGGTAAATAAATCCTTTTAGTGTTTCAGTCAGTGAAGAAAACATGGAAGGAAAGACCCTCCACAGAGTTTCCATCATAGCACTAATGGTCAAAATTTCTTTCTGTGTCTTGGACCATTTTTGATAGCTTTTACATTTGAAATACCTTATTTAAATCAACACAGCTTCTCCTTGCAAGTATTGATTTAATGGGTTTTTTTTAGATTAGGAGGGAAAAGTTCTCTTGTGGGTCCAGAAAGTGCTTTCTGAGTGCAGTCCCTTTTGTTTAACCTGTGAACTCTGTCTCTTGTGCATCAGTAAATATGTATATTATAATTTCTGTAAATGTTTATTTCTCTCCCTACAATTTTACATATCTCTGCATGAAGCAGGCAAGATTTGTTTGAGCATCTTATTTTCAATACTGATACACATAAAGTTTTATTGTGGTGTTTTGTTTAAAAAAACATTTGTAGAACAAAATTTGTTGTAGTATTTGCTTCTTTCAGCTGTGTTTTAATGGTGCAAAATAGTAAAACCCTCAGTTCCTCAAATATGAAGGCTTCTTAGATAGAACTCTTGGCTTCTTTATCTTTTTCTTTCATATTAAAAGAAAATCTGAAAGGAGATTGTACCTGAACAAATTTAACACCATCTCCATGACAACCAGCTAATTAATTGCTATCGGTCTGGCTTTGGTCCTCTTCAGTGAACTGATACTCCCCAGCTTTATTTCACAGATCTTCTGGGTTTTCTATGAAGGTCATTTATTTAGCGACAGTATTTCTTTGGGAGAAGCAGCCTTTTAATGCAAGCAACAACTTTCTTTAAAAACAGCTCAATCTTACCTGTGGTTTCCTCTCAGTTTTGCTTCCTGAACAGTGGTAGGGAGGTTTTGAGGTTGGTTTTTTTCTCCTTCTTGCTTTTCCTGATATTTTCATTTTTTTTCTTTCGGGCATAATTGTTCATTATGTATATTATGACTGTGACCACATTGCAGTAGAAGTATTCCCAAGCTAAGTTTGGATCTAAGTAGTGTAGTAAGTAGGAGATGTGATGTTTAGAGCGGGCTAAGAGCTCAGGTAGTTCCTTTGCTTCTTGGGACAGATTTTGCATGTCTGAGCCTCTTACCACTGCATCGCTGCACGTATTCGTGCTTGCTATTGTAAAGTCATCTCTACATTATCCTGCAGTCCAGAGTTTCTGCAATGTTAGAGGTACTTTGAATCAATCAAGATACTTGCCGCAGTTACTGCATCATTTTTGAGATTATAAAGATGTTTGGGAGGGCTGGTAATGGTATTACTGTTGCAAGCTTTCCTCTGTGATAACAGTCTCCAGCCTGTGAACAGTAAGAACATAACGTCTGTAGATGGTGAAACTAAATGCACATACAGCTCAACATCCTGTCTTCCCTGCCGGCCTCTCATAGCAGATACCTGTGATAGGCTGTGGGGACAGGGAAAGGATGACTTGGTGCAGGATATTTTCCCCAGAACATTGTCCCAGTCTTCAACTGCCTGTGGCTAAAGGAGTTAAGGGCTTGCAAGCAGTAAAAAGGAGAATGAAAGCTGAGGCCAGGAAAGAACAGTAATTTTCTATCCCGAACATTTCTTGTATTTTTAAGTTTACATTTTCTTTCTGGATGACTGTTCACTGCCTCTTACAAATTAAATATGTGTGTACATCAATTTATACATGTTATGTGCTTAGTATGAGAGGGGAGTGGAAACAGCTGAGTATATCCCTCACTCCTGCAGTCTCCTTTTCACTGGCACATGTTTAGTTCCAATCTTTGTGTTTTCCTGTCATGTCTCGTGGATGTATTAATTGTTTGAAGTTATTCCATATATTTTCTCCTTGGGTGCCATATTTTTTGCAGACAGTTTGCGGGACACCTCAATTATCTCATGTAATTTAGTAGTACTTATGAGAGATGGATATTGATGTTCAGGTGTAGCTATGAACTCTATTGAAGATTAAAGTCATGCATTAAAAGGATTGCCGAGAGATTTGTGTAGAAAAGCAAGAGAAAAATCTGTGTTTTGACTGAATGTTTTATATATTGTTGAAAGTACAGAAATACATACAACATGCTGTTATGCTCGTTTTAACATGTACATAAAACTAGAAAGAAAGCAAAAATGTTGTGGCAACTCCCTTATTTTTCTTCATAAGTGGCAAGCCAACAAAACGGATTCAGAAGGACAAGATGCACTGGGAGAGGCAGGAAATCATTTTAGATATTTTCCTTCATAAGCTGAATTTTTAATATTTTTTTAAATCACTTTGTGGGCCTGCTGGAAGAAGTTACGACTGAAGATAATAGATACGGATATTTTACATAATAAATGTCTGGAGAAATGGATCTAAGCAGATGTGTAGTACTTGGGATTTGCATGAAGTGAAGTGGCAGAAGGAAACTTGCACCAAAACCAGTACTGAATTGGAGAGGAGTTAGGCTGCAAAAGTGACCTTGAAGATGGGAAACACGATGTTCGTTGTGGTGTTAATATTATATCTATTCTGAATCATTGTCTTTCAGCTACTTACTTGACATTGTGATATATCTGACATTTAGAATAACAGAATAACATATTAATGATTTTTTTCTTTTTTTCTTTCCTTTTTTTTTTTGTTTGTTCATATGTGACATGCTACTGAACTGGTACGTGTGAAGATTGCTGTGTTCACTGTATCCTGGCTTGCTTGTTCTGTGAATTTCTCACCCTCTGTAACATTGTTCTGGGACAAGCATCCTGTGGCATCTGCACGTCGGAGGCCTGCTGCTGTTGCTGTGGGGACGAGATGGGGGATGACTGTAACTGCCCGTGTGATATGGACTGTGGCATAATGGACGCATGTTGCGAATCTTCAGATTGCTTGGAGATCTGCATGGAATGCTGTGGGATCTGCTTCCCGTCATGAAATATTTATCCCTTTTTATTTTATTCTCTATAAAACTGGAGAGCTTTTCTTTAAATACATTTGAAGAAAGACAAGGTAAGATTTTCACAGAACCATCTGGTATTGCACTGTTAATTCCCTATATATAAATATGTTTTTTAAAGCAATCCTCAAATCTGTATTCTAACACAAATTGTATAGTTTTGTATGTGAAACTCAAGCTACATTCCAGCTTCCTTTTGGCTTTGCAAATGGAAGACTTTATTGAAACCCAGTTACAGGCCTGATACCGCAGGCTGTGTGAGAGCAAAATTGCCATTTGAATTGAGTGACAGGTTTTGGTCAGAGAAGAGACTACAGGGCAAAAGCCTTAAGTATTTACCTTTACCTACATTAATGTTTAAATGCTCAAATGCCTCCATGCATAACATGCCTTTACAGGCATTCTGAAAAGCAAAACGTCTTTTTTCAATCTCTTTGGGTTGAAAGCAACTTTGCTCTATTATTTTAAACTTAATTCAAAGTCAGCATCAGGAGTCTACTGTTGGTTTTGCTACAGTGGTCACACTGGCAATATTTCTTTTGTTTTTAATATCTCATTGATTTGAGAGAGATTCCTGGTATTTTCCATTGTCAGTACTGATACTACGGGAAGATTTGGCAAACTAAAGTCAATGTAAGTTTTGCCATGGACTACAGTACCAAGATTTCGTTGTTATCAATCAACAGAGTATAGAGAACTTATATTTTACTTCAGTACTAATACTACTTGAAATGCTTCTTTTTAGAAAGAGACTTTGGAAATCTGTGTAGACGTGAAATATAGCCTTAGACTAACAGACCAATAGACTAACAAATCTTCAGAATTTGGCTATAAAAGGGAAATTATCAGATGTTAACTCATGAATCTACACCTGTACATTAGTGGCCCTGTCAGTGTTTGTGGCTTTACAGCCAGTATCAAGTAACTTAGTATTTATTTCTTCACTGTGTGAGAGAGATCCACAGAGGATAGCAGAATTTCAACAGGGTATAAAGACCAAATCCAAACAGTCTTGATCAAGGACTTCTGTCATTGAATGCAAAAAGCAAATGCAAAAATATTATTCTCAGATACATTTTGTTATTTTTAAATAACCGCATTAAAAAAGGACATTTTAAAAATGGATGGTATCCTTTAAAAATAAAAGGAGTATGATCTAAAATGTTTGAAAAATACAGTTAGGATCCAGTGAGCAACTTTTTCCCTATTACATTGTTAAGGTTTTCTGAGAAGTATCTCTCTCTGTCATTGTAATTGTGAAATTAATTTGGTCCAACATACAAAGAAGTTTATGGCATTCCCAGATTTAGGGAATAATGGTACCCATTTTCTTCACTATCTGCTAGATTCTCCCCACCATGTCTGTAGCTCATTAACTTTTCTGTGTAAACCACCTATACATCTTGATCTCACATACTTAAAATTTCCTATCTATACTCCAGATTTCCCATTTGTAGATTGTTGGATCTCATAAATTTAGGCCTTGTTACAGGAGTCATCGATAGCCAATAGCATATTTCTGTTGAGTGAATTGACCATAAATGTCTCTTTCCGCTGCAGTGAATTCAGTTTATGCAAATGTGACAAACTAAAGATCACAGGAGTGTGAAGCTAAGTCAACAAATGGTCTCATATTAACCAGAGCTTCTCCCTGTGAACACTGACTAGTAGTGCCTACTACTGCAAGTTATCACTGAAGGTAACATAGCCGAATCCTCAACTATACTAGGGAGCTGGGAGGTGTAACGTTTTACCTTAACGTCTGCAATATTGTGGTGCATTCTGATGAAATGCAGATTTACTGAGAGGGTTTCTTATCTCTTTTTTGATAGTTACTACAAGAATTGATTCTTCTTGTGGTTATTTTTTTTCCCATATATTGGGCCAGATTCAGATCTGTGTCACATAAAACTAAGTGCATTTCCATTAATGTCAGAATTTTCCATTGGTTTAGCTCCAGCTAGAGAGCACAAAAATATTATGGTAATAGGCAGGCTAATAAGGAATCATATAGTTAAATTGATAAATTCCCTGAGCTCAGAATCAGGCCCATGGGGCTCAATTATGACTCCTAAAAGTCTGAACCACATTGGGAAGGGGGAAGAGGTGCCTTGGTTGAGTGGCAGTGCCTGGAGGCATTTTGCCTTTGTAAGGCATAATGCCTCTGGGGAAATTGGGGGCATCACAGTGAGCACTGGGACTTGATGCACCTTGGAAAAAGTGTAGACAGTGCTTCGCCCATTGTAGGTCTGTGGTTGACATCGTGGTGGTGGGGACATGCTGTCTGGGGCTAGGCAGCGCCATTAGCTATCCTTCCTTGTGTCCTGGTCACGGAGAGGTGAATTATGGCTGTTTCTTGTCTTACTGTGCTTTTGGGGATGGGGAAGAGGACTTCCAGTCTCCTGTCCTGCCCTGACGTCCGTGCCCTGCCAGAGCAGTTCCAGTTTTGTGTTTGGAAAACTGCATATTTGCATATCAAGCTTTTAGTGAATACTGGATGTTAGTTAAAATTACTTTTACTACAGGATGATACAGTATTAAAAAAAAAAAAAAATCAATCTCGGGAGTCCTTTTTCTGTGTAAAAGTTTATTTATACAATTTGCTCTGCACAAACCCTTGTTTCTGCTTACAGGAACTCAGACTTTTTTTGGTTGATTGAAATTATGAAAACCTGGGAAATGTATTTACTATTAAGCATTTACTTCCAGTACTGTTAAAATACAAGTACCGAATACAAGAACTCTGTTCATGCATATATGCATATGTGTACAGATTCTCTCACACGTGTGCACACACACACATATGCAGATATATTATTTCTTTTCCCACTTCATTTGTGAAATAGTAGGAAATGAAAATAGTGCGTATTAACCCTCATAGTGATTAGAAGTATCAAAGTATTATGGACAATTGAAAAAAAAATAGACAATTGTGTGATTTGTTTGACATTTAAATGTAATCTGCTACTATTTGTCATAGAGATATTAGCACTTTTGTAAAATGTATCTTTGTAGCAGAGAATATTAGTATGTAGTTTAAGGAATTCCTTTCTATATTTATATTCTTAAATTCTATTTTGTAATTTTCACTCTATAGGCAATCTATAAGCACCTTGTGTAATTGAAACAAGCAGAATTAGAAGGAGACAAATGTGAAAATACAGTTTAAATAAAATTAAAACATCAGAACTTAACTGTCTATTTTATAATAACTTGTGAACTTGTACAGTGTTTCAGTATATAGTTCTGCAAACTGGACCATTTGAAAAAATGGTATCTTGCTATTTGTATTTTATATCAACTGGATGTGCTATTCTCAAACACTATTTTGAAATAAAGATCTTTATTTTGAAACTTTGGGATATCTTCTTCTAGTCTTGCCCTGTTACTCTTCTGAAAGATAATTTCATGTCTTGTTTGTGATTTTTCTGTTATAACACTTGCTGAAAGCTTTGGCCTTTGGGTCATTTGCACAGAGGGTGAGCCAGTGTGAGTGAGCTGTCTTACGTACAGAGCTAAACCAGCTCAGGTGCTGGAAGCTGTGCTAGTGTGAATCTCCAACAGTAAAAAAAGTTTGTCATTAAGAGGGCAAATTAATTCCTTGGTGTAATTGTATTAATGAGGTGGAATTCCAGTAATGATTAAATTTGATCAAAATGAAAGTTATTGTAATACATCTGCTGCAACAGTCTTGAGTTTACTAAAAGCAACCTGAACACAGAATGTAGTTTGTTCATAGTATTGCAGTAGAGAGATTACGGTCTACTGGACTCTGTGGCCTATGTAACTGAAGGCTTATAGACAGTACCACTATTTTAAAGTAAGGTATGTTTTTAAAATCAGTTAGTTTAAACACAGATAGACCGCTTTATCTGTGATTTAAGCAAAGATTTTTTTCCTGTTGGCTTAAGCGGAATGTAAACATGCCCACGATACTTTAAAACTGCAGAAACTGCATGTCTAGAGTCTTTACCACTAATTTTTCTATGTCTGTTTTAAATTTACTGAACGTTCTACCATGTCTGTGTATACATGGGCCCTTAAAATAGTTGTAATATGTCTCCTCTGGGTGTTACAGAGGTGATATGTTAAAACTGACAGAAATTCTGTGCTTGAATGTGTACCATGAAGTCTTGCCGTTGAGACTGTGCCACACTTCTCTTAGAAAATAATTGTTCCTGAAAGAGAACTAATAAAAGCACAGACAAATAGCACCGTTTGAGACTTATTACAGGTGTTCTAGCTGGTATCTGTAATACATAATATTTCTAGAAAGAAATGGCTTCTGTGAAGAGGGATCATGATCAACATTTGGGAGCTTTTAAACTGAATATTGACTCTATTTCAACTATAGTACTTGTGTTGAGAACTGTTTGTTGAGTTTGGTGAATCATTGCTTTTATGAAGTAGTCTTCTGAATGAAAAGCTTTTCTGAGCTCTTCACACATTTAAAAAAAAAATTGTTTAAATGATTGCAATATTTGCTGTACGTTCTTGGAGAGCAATGCCAATTGTGTTGATGTATTTCCACAGTAAAGCTCCTTCTGTCAGCAGCCTTGTAACTTTCTGAAAGGCAACAGATGTATCCAAAATCTTACTCTTAGCCCCTAAATTAAATTAAAGATTAGAGAAATATCTCCCTGGTATCTTCTTTCTGTCCCTCTCTCTGTCTGTATGTGAGTGTGCACACCATGCGTTGGAAGACCAAGTACTGTTGTTGATGACAGTAGTAACTCTAGAATCCTACAGGCATTAATCTTACTTTTTTTCCTACCTTCTAACCCTTCTGCCAGTTCTTTTAACTTCCAAAGAGAGCTGGGGGACCTTAGCTCAATTTTAGCATCAGGATATTGAAAGCAGTTAAATGAAAATAATACCCTGCACCCACTTCTGTGATGCACTTGTTGGCTGTGCTCTGTATACTCAAATGTGATTGCTGGTACAGAATTCAGCCTCCTCATAAGCACTTGCTTATGCTATTTACCAGTGATTTGGTGCTAGTGACATAAAAGCATGGTCTTTCTCTTCTTTAGAAGTCTTTGATATGATGGGCTATTTCTACTACAGTTGGAAAGAGAGAAATTTCTCTGAGTTACCATTCTGCAAAACAGACAGATGTTGCGTTTGATTA